ACATCGGTTCCTGGGGGGTCCTTAATTCGGGGGGGGGGGCGGTAGAACCTATTTTGTATTAGAAAGGAGAATCAACGTGGCAATCACTATACGCGTTTGCCAACCGACCTTCGAAGATACAGTGCTCGCGCAACTGCGGGTGGCAGGCGGCTGCGCGCCAGGCGAACCGCCAGGCAAAGCGTCCGCGGGCGCCTCCTCGCACTGCGCAGCCCCGCCCTCGCGCTCCCAGCCGCCCTGATGAGTCCGACCAACGAACGACATACACACATAGACACCTACAAATCGACAGCGTAAAGCTCAACGTAGTCATATATATATATATATATATGTATATACATGCGTAAACACATGTACCGTACAATCCCACGCGCACACACACACATACACATCTAGATGTACACACCTGTATACAGATTGTGTAGATTCCCCTTCCTATATTTTCATAAGCCCGGGCGGGGGGACCCCCCCACAAAAAACAACCAACAAAACAAATATTCCCGGGATCTGGGGCTTTGGGACCCTCCGGACGGGCCTCGGAGCGGCACCCCAGGTCTCGCAGGGCGTTTTGCCAAGCCTTCCCAGCACACCTAGGGCGATCAGGGGGGTCATCGGAGACGTCCCAGAGACCGCCACGACAGCACAAGAGCGCTCCAAGTCTGACCGACGTGACGTCAAGATGGCCCAAGAGGCCTCCAGGACGGCCCCAAAGAGGCCTCCAAGAGCACTCCCAAAAAGGCCCCAAGAGACACAACTCATTGATTTTCTGTTGGTTTTTGGTGAAGTTTGGGGTTATCCTCTTTCCTGCTTCCCGGCGCTCCAAGACGGCGGTCTTCTGGGCGTCCGCAGCTGCCTGGGAAGCTCCAAAATCGCCCCACAACCACCCGAAAGAGCTTCCAAGGAGTTCACGAGAGCCCCAAAACGGCACAACACGGGTCCAAGATGGCCCTCAGAGAGCCCCATAGCGGCCCAATATAACCCAAAGACACCCTCCGAAGCATTCCAAATCGTGACCCGGTCGTTCAGGGAGACCGCGGTTGGAGGCAGGGTGGCCCGAGGAAGCCCCCAGAGGCCCCCAGAATACGCCCAGGAGGCCCCTAGAGGGCCTTAAGAAAGCCTGAAACAGCTTTTGCAAGGCCCCCAGAGGCTCTCCAAGGAGGAGCCTCCGCAAAACAGAGCTGAGGAGGATGGGGAGAATGCGCAGGGCACGGCGAAAATTAAGGAAAACAACACGGAGGAAAGGTAACGAATAGCATTATTGTAGCGGCGATGCCAAAAAAGGGCAAAAAGGCGTTATCGCTACATTGTCGGCGTGACCTTCCTGCTATTCTGCCTGCGTACCAAACTTCAAGGACCAAGGCGCTTGGCGCGAAGCGCCACTGCAGTCTTGTATATATATACATATACATACATACATACACATGGTTTTCGGCGCCGCCACGCTGGGCATGGATTGGGTATGTCCGCAGGTCCTTTCGTCGATTCCGCTGCGCATCAATCCCCTGTTCTACGATATCAACGAAAGGCCCGGGCCCACATTTCCGACATCTCTTGGAGGTTCCTTCGTGCCCCGTGGGCTCCCCCGCATCTGGTCGCGCGACTTTTCGGGCGCAAGACAGCCCCGCGACGGGCCAAGAGAGCCTCAAGAGGCCCCCCATGACGGCCCGAGAGGGCCCGAGTCGCCGAACAACCATTCCAAGACGCGCAAGATGGCCCCGCGACGACCCAAGAAGCCCCCAAAACGCCCCAAGAGGCCCCGAAGAAACCTCCCAAGAAGGCCCCAAGAAACAAGGGGCTCCCGTCATGCACACTTTTTGGAAAAGTGAATTTGTCGCCGCAAGGGGAGTTCAGGTTAGAAAGGGTCCCCTAGTCACTCCCGCGCGAGAGGTCTGTTTTCTGATTGGCAGCAGCAACGGGGTGGCGGCGAGTTCGCGGCGCAATCCCGGTGCATAGGGCTCTGCAACTTTGGCCCATGGGATCCAGAGCGCAGGGAGAGGACCATAAAGATCTGCACTGACCGCTGCCGCCTCAAAGTCAGCCGCGCAAGTGCTGAACAAAGAAATTATTAAGACTTCCGAACAAAAAGTGCGTGCGTTTTTCCATGCGGTTTTACAGCAGTTGTCCCAAGTCGCTGGGGCAGCTTCATGCGCCGCTCGCCGCCTCGGCGCTGGAATATTGCACATCATGCTGCTGAGCGGATTCGCTAGTAACCATGGAGTTCTGCGACGATCAAAGAATATGATCAGGCGAAGCGTTGCTCTTACCAGCCGATTGTCTCGAGTCCGAGCGGTGTGGTCTTCATAACTGAAGACGCTCCTGTCCTGAGCTCCCTAGCGCATGGCCTCGGTTCCGACGAAACGCGTTCGCACTCTGGCAACCGAGACACTGGCACATACGGTAGCCATCGCCGCTCCGATAATCAGACCATTCGCGGCGGCTTGCTCGATCCTGCAAAGCACGGCGTGGCCCGTGAGATTCGAATGCTCGCCATATCGGAGGTCCCAGAGCCTGGCCGCGCGGCCGCGGTAGCTGACGGCATTGCCGACCCCGCCGGCTCCTCATAGCAAGTCGGCAAAACACGGGCGCGAGGACGTGGTTGAAGGGGCCCTGGGACACACAAATAAATACACACAAATAAAACAAATCCCCATATTTTCCCATATGTTCTGGGTTTTTGTCTCCCCCCCACTTCCCATATTTTCCCATATTTTCTGGGAAATCGACGATTCGTTGTGTCTGTGTGTTTTTCCCCTCCTGAGAGAGGAGCGCCCCGAGCCGCTCGCCGGCCAGCTCGGCTTGACCCGCCTGCCACGACGTGAGCTGGGAGGCCGACGCGTTGAGGCGGCCACTTTTGAAGGGGCCCAAAGGACACACAAATAAATACACGCAAATACAATGATTCCCCATATTTCGTCATATTTTCTTGGTTTTTGTCTTCCCCCCCCCAATTCCCATATTTTCCCATATTTTCTGGGGAGTCGACGATTAATTGTGTCTGTGTGTTTCTTTCCCTCCTGACACTTTCTCGCGCCGCATCAGGGTCGACTCGCGCTGCCATCTGCCCCGCTTGTTGAACCCGAGGCAGTCTCGATGGCAAGCCTGCAGGTCCATTGGAGCCCCCGAGTGTCGGCGCTGGTGATGCATTGAAAGGGCCAGCTGCAGCCCCACTCCGATCCTGTTGAATGTCGCCACCAGCACTGGGCAACTGCGCGGAACACAGCCTCGACTCTGGGGCCTCTGCAGCGCTGGCCGAGATAAACTACGACGACCATGGGCAGAGCTTGCGGGTCAGACTGACCCTCCACGTATTCATCTTGCTCTGGCGTGGGAGCTCGACTCCTCGGGGACAAGATCACCCCCGAATCGTCCGAGCCACCTTCCACGAGCTTGATGAGGTCCTGCCTCTGAATAGCCACAGGCTCCGCAAGACTATGGCAGTCGCACGTTCAGCCACATGCGACGGAGTCTCATCATCCAGAGGCCGCGGCCGCACAAGTCCCATACAACAGCTGGCCTTATCTTTCTCACAGCAGGTTTCCGAAAGAGGCGGCCGCAGTATCGGCGCCAACCCTCCGGGCATCACCAGGCCCGGCGGGGTCGGGAGCTCCCGAGCTCCCCATGCTGCGGCTGGAAGTGCAGGAGGGCAAGCATGATGACATCACCTCGGTTGGCATGGTGACCGCTCTCGTATAACGCGTCCACGCACGCTGTCCGCGACGAGCCAGCGCCCGCCTGCCGCGTTCACGATGCTCTCCGGCTCGAGCCTGCAGCGCCCCTTCGTGCCCTGGCTCACCGCTGAGTGCTCCAGCAGCGCGAGCCCGCCAGAGAGGGCGAGGCGCGGGCTCGTGCGACCGCCGCGCCCCGGTGCCCAGCAGTCGGCCGCGGCTGGCGGGCCCTCGCCCCGGACGCTCGCCCTCGGGTTCCGCGGCGGCGTCGGCGTCGCATCTGACCAGCTCCGCAATGCCGCCGAGCGCCTCCAGGCCGAGGAGGCGGGGGGCGGACCCAAGCAGCCGCTCGGCGATGCCTTTGGCGCCGCCAGCACCCGCGTCGGCGCGGCTGCATTGCCCCCCGGCGAAGGGCCCCCCGGCGGAAGCGGCAAGGCCAGCGACGAGACCCACGAGCGCTTCGCAGGCCGCTCGCACCCGCTCAGCGCGAGCCCACCGCCGCCGGCTCCATGGCCCCAGCGCCCGGCGCCGGGCAATCAGCGCCAGGCGACCCAGCGGCCAGCGCGGGCGGGGCGACCTCGAAGGAGGCGCCCACCGGAGCCAGGGCACAGGAGGATAGCGCTCGGAGGGTCTTACTTGGAACTCGTCGAAAGCTGGGGCCCTCGCTGATGCGTCGCTGCGTGCTCTTCGGCTGTAGCTGCTGCGTTCTTAGTAGCCAGCATCTTGGCTGCTCTGCAATTGCTCGAACTGATGTCAATGCTGTCGGTGTCGTCACTGTTCTTGCTGATGTCGATGGGTCTCATGTTGATATCGTTGCTGCTTGTGTCCATCGTGTTATGCTTGCTCTGCTTGGCAACATCATGCTGTTCTCAATGATTTTGATGCCTACGGCACTGCCATGCTGTCGCCATGCTGTGCGACTTCCCAGGAGTTAACCCAGGTCTTAGAGCGATCGCACTTGCGGTCGGCCAGCCCTGGGCCCTCGTCACCAGGGTTGCGCTCGCAGGGCGAGGCATAGGGCGACGGCCCGACGAACGCAACAAAGAACAATGATTAGTTTCGCCCAAGACTGCTGAAAGGCAATCGGTCGCGACAATCACGCGCTCTCCCACGCTCGGCGACAGGGCGCGCAGCATCTCGATCGCGCGCGTTAGAGCCTGCGACTCGTGGGCCAAAATGCCCCCCGGAGCATTGCGCCACCCGCGGGCAACAAGCTCCGCCCAGCGGCGCCCTTAAAAGATGGCCGCTGGCGCCTCCTCATAGGATGGGTCAAGCCCCCGCTCGACCTGGCCGGCGATCCCGTTGCTTGTTCTCCAGCTCGGACGTTGGCTCCAGGACGCCCTCGGCGGTCATCTGGGTGCCGTTCGCGGCGAAGAAGCGGGCCCTAGCCGAGTGGCAAACCAGGCGCCTGCAGCGGGGCTGCTCCAATGCCCGTCCAATCTTCTCCAGCTCGACGCAATCAATCACCGACGCGCCCACCGCGGCGCCCCTGCTCCGAAGCGCCCGACAAATGCGCGATCCTCGCAGCAGCGGCATCACGCCCTCGAACGCCACCAAGTCCGCGCGGGCGCTCTCCGTCAAGACGGCGCACCGCCCGCAGCTGGCGGCGATGCACGTGTAGATGGCCTTGAAGGCAGGCGGGGCAGCAGGTCGCGGTTGCGCATCGCGCAGCAGGTGCAGCGCCTGATCGCGACCCCCCGAACTCACCCAGGAAGGGCGCGGCAGCCAGGTGCCGAACTGAGGCCCCGCCGCGCCCGCCAGTGCCGTTTGGCCGCCCGCCTGGTGCTCGACGCCTCGCAGCCCAGCGCGCAACCACGCGTCTCGCCCCTGCCTTACTAGGCATCTGTCTCTTGGGTCTCGGGGCCTGCCGCATCAAGGCGCGCGGCGGCCGACGAGAGGCCCGCGGCGACGGCCTTCTCGCTGGCGCCCGCAGCCGTCGGCCGTCAGTCGGCGCCCAACCAGCGCGCCCCCTGCCGCGCCCACCTCGCCGGCCAGGACGGCCCCCAAGCAGAAGAGATTGGGCGACCCTTGGTCGATCATGAAGTGGCGGGGCGCGCCGCTGATGTCGGAGGTCGCCAACGCGAAGTGCAGCTCGTGGCGCTCCGCGGTGACCCCCGCCCCAAGCTCCACCTCGACGCGGTCGAAGCCCTCGGCGATCGCTGGGGCTGCGCCCGGGAGCGAGGCAAAAAGGAGATTGCTCCTCCGCGCGCCCTCGATGAGGCGAAGCTGGTCGCTCTTTTTGGCCGCGAAGGAGACTCCGACCTCCTCGCGGCGCTCTGACCCCCCCAGATACACCAGCGTCCTCTTCGAGCGGAGCAGCTGGATCAGGCGCGCGCGCAGCCTCCCAGCCCGGGAAGGCGTCGCGCACTCCGAGGCGGTCGCGAAGTTCACCCTCAGGTAGGAGCATCCGAATAGATCCATATCCGAGGCAAACGGGTGCACTGGCAGGCACGATCTCCTGTGGCAGCGGCGCCCCCACCGCGTCTTAGTCAAGGAAGTCTGCCCCTCATTGCGAAGGCGTTCGACGTTCCGTCCAGCCGCCAGGCTGCCCGCCGGGAGAGGGCCACAGTCTCCTCAGAGGCGTGCTCTCGGCCGCCGCGTCCAGGATCCGCGCGCGCTCTAAGGGTCTAAATTGGACTTCTGAACGTTCGCGCTCCCCGTGCAAATTCATATTGTCCGCTGCGTCATTGAAGTCATCGGGGGCCCGCCTGGCAAGTCGGCGCGCTCCGCGGCCCTGGGGCCGATCGAGGGCTGAAGCGTCTGGAAGCCTGGGGGCCCTCAGCACGTCCGCCCCGACTTTGCGCTCGGGCCCATCGCGGCCGGAGGGCCTCCCACCCCCGCCGGCAGGCGGCGCCCCCCCCCATCGGGCGCGGCGAGCTCGCCGTCGCGGCCGCCGTCGCCGCGCCCTCGACCGCCGCAGCGGCCATCGCCTCGGCCACCTTCGCGCCTAACTCCGCGCCCTGCGCGAGCCCCAGTGGCGCCGACGCCGGGGGGGGCCCTCGCCAGCCTCAAGCGCGAGAGGGCACGGCGGCGGGACTGCCGCTGCCTGGCCTTTCCAGCTCCCCAGCCCCATCTCTTCCTTGTTCCTCCGGAAGACCGTGGTCCGCAAGGCTAGGGTCGATGACGCCCATCGGGCCTGCCGCGCCAACGCAGCGACGACGACCTCCCCACTCAGAGGCATGGCCCCCTCTGACCCTCCCCCCCCCCCCCCCCCGGCGCAGGTTTAACGATCTGCAAGACCCGCCAGCAGAACGCTTTGATGCTCGCCATGCCCGCCAGGTTGAGCGGGCCGCGCGTCCCGGCGTCGGCGATGGCCGACGGCAGACAGCGCATCTCGACGCGCGCGCGATCGCCAGCGTCGACAAGATGATCGCGAGCCCGCAAATCCAGCCACAGCAGCGGCGACCCGCTGGTACGATCCCACGCATTGATCATATGATCGACCGTCGAGAGCCCGTCCTCCAGCGGCCAGTCCACTAAGTCATAGCGTCGCACTTCTTGGGCCACCTCTCGCCGGGGCTTGTGCCGCTCGCTGTGTTCGTCGCGCTGCGCCCACAACGTCCGAACGTCCTCGGCGGGCTCCAAAGACCTCTCGCCCTCGGGTGGAGGGGCGCCAAGACGCTCTCGAAGGTTCTGCTCAGCACCAGCCTCGAAGTCAGGGCCGTCCGCTCCGCTTGAGGGAGCCCGCGAGCCTCCCGTCGGCACGCGAGACGGCGCGTCGCGGGTCACGCCGAGCTCGGCCTCCTGGACGTTCAACATCCGCCGACCTCGGCGACTGCCGTAGAGAGCCTGACGACCGGCCGCGACCGCCTCCACCAACTGCCAGCCCGCCCCGAAACCCTATCGCGTGGCTCTCGCCCAGGCGCATGTCGCCCGACCCCAGGGACACCGCGCGGCCAAGTGCCAGTTCCCCGGGGACGCCACAAGCCAGGCACAGCCCGCGGGCGCCTCGAGAGAAGTGGCTCCAGCAGCAAGCGCGTCGTCGCCATCGGTAGCAACCGAAGCGCCCACAGCGTCACTGCTGGGCGGGGTGCCCGTGCCTCCGGCAGACCCGCCATCGCCAGAGCGCAGCCGCAGCCAGCCGCGCGGCCTCGAGAAGGGCACTGGCACACCACCCCAGGTCACCAGCTCCACCAGGTCGCTGAAGGCCCCGCCGCTGTGCTCGCTCTGAATGATCCGCGCCTCCAGGATCCAGCGCTGCAGCTGCTCCCCGCTGACCGCGTCGGGAAAGCGGTAGAAACTGCTGCGGGCCACCGCCGTGGCCAAGCCGCCATCTGTGACATCACCCACCTGGCCATCACCCACCTGGCCGGTGACATCCTCGGCATACACGTCGCCGTCGGGATTGGTAACCCCCCAGTAGTATCCGCCTCCAGGGTATAGCAGCAGACTCTCGTGACACGCCGTGTCTCGAGGGTACCAGAGCCCAGCCGCAACTCAGCCAACCACTCCGCCACCGCGGCGGCGGCCCCGCTCGAACACAGGGTCGCCACGCCACGTTACCGACGGAAAGGCGCCAGCATGGCGTCTCCGGACGCCCGCCGCGCAGCGCGCCACCCATACACTCTCTCGACGCGCGGCTCCAGGCTAGCCACGCCAGCTCCCGAGACGCCTCCAGGGCCTGGCCGTCCTCTGGCGGCGCCGCCTCTGAGGGACTCGGCGGCCCAGGCGAGGGCGGCAGCCGACTGACCACCGCCTCCGCCACCTCAGCCACGGTGGGGCAGGTGGCGGGCGCCGCGAGCTGTTCGCCAGCCCGGTGGGCGCACGCGGCGGCGGCTGGCGGCAGCTGTTGCCAGCCACCCGCCCAGCAGCCGCAGGCCTGCCCAGGCCGCCGGCGCGCCCACCGCGGCGCCGACCGCCAGCGTGGTTCTGGCCCCTGGGGCCACAGACAGGCCCCCAGCTCATGCACTTGGAACCCAAGTGTGAATGGAAGACGGGAAGACAACAGCGCGCAAACACTCACATTCCTTTGGTTTCTTTTCGAAGTTTTCGACATTCTCGCCGCTTCAGCTTCCCAGCGCCCCAAGAGGGGCCGACGATGCCTCCAAGACCGCCCCAAGACGGCCCATCAGGCCGCCAAAACGCCCCCAAGACGGCCCAAGAGGGCTCCAAGACGGCTCAGGACGAACCCATGACGGCCCAAGAGTGCCCCAAAATGGCTCCAAAAGGGGCCCAAGCGAGGGAACACGAACCGAAAAACCGAGAATCCCGCTCCAAGGCACCCCAGGCCCCCAAGAGGCCCCCAAGAGGCCTCCAAGAAGCACAAGAGGACCCATCACGGTTCCCAATCCTCACGAGCATCCAATAGGCCTCACACCCACAACCCAGGCACGGTGGCGGGATGGGCTGAAGGCCATTAGTCTGTATTAGCCAGCGTGGTTCCCAAAACGCAACGGCTTGCAACCAGTGCGGTGCATTCTAGGCGACGAAATCCATATGATTCAGTCTAGGGTGGCGCATGCAAAGCAATACAAACCAACGCCAAGGAATGCAGAACGAATGCACCAGGAATGCAATGCACAGCTCTGCCAAGCACTGCTAAGCACTGCAAAGCAACGCAAGGCAACTATGCAAAACAATGCGAAACACTGCAAACCAATTGAACGCAAACTGGTGCAATGCGATGCGCAGCGATACAACGCAATACGAAGCATTGCAAATCAATGCAAAACAATGCCAAACAACGCAAATAAATGCAAGCCAACACAAAGTAACGCAAAGCAATGCGGCACAATGAAAGTTCAACTCGATGTAATGATATTGCAATGCAATGCGATGCTATTGTGAAACACTCCGAAGCAATGTCACACGATGCGATTGCAAAACAATGCGATTGCTCTGCAATGCGACTGTAATTTGACAAGGGAGTCCGCCCAGCCCGCGTCCAGGCCCTTCTATTAGAAAACATGTAGTGTGGCGGCGGACGGGAACGGGGCCGCTGGGGACGCCAACGCGTCTGGTTCCCTACACGCGAAATACACAGCCCTAAGTGTAAGCACTGCGTGGGAAATGACCTGTCGAAGGTGCATGTTGGTTTCTTGGATCGGCGCTAACAAAGCTGGCGGCGCCTCCAGCGCGGCCACTGCCCGCTTCGCGCGACAGGTAGTGGGTTCCAGTGTCGATTCACGAAATCCGTGCGGAGCTCCGAAAGGGTATAGTTCGGTCGCACGTGCAGTGCTTTGCAATCTGCTGAAGGAGACGTCGCCCCTCGCAAACCTTCGCTATTGATGCCCACGGTCTGCAAACAAACACAACCAAAAGCGCACTTCGAGCATGAAGACACGATCATCAGAGGCGGCGTTCTTCGGGCTGCGTGCGCCAGTTCTCTTGTGCTGCCCCACACTGCGAGGTCGAATGCTTTACGTATGTGCCACACTTGTGCATCGCTATGCTATGGTATGCCATGCCGCGCAATGCCGTGGCAAACCATGCTTTGCTAGGCTATGCTTTGCTGAGCTCCCATGCTGCGTGATGTTTGGCAACTGTACTCCAGTATGTGCTATGCTATTTGACGCTGCTTCGTGCCGTCCTACATTGTGTATGCGCATCGGCTCTTACGCTATGTTGGAACATGCTGTCAACTGCTAGACTGTGCGATGGTGCGCTGCGCAATGCAACGCAACCCAATGCTATACGAAACAAAGCAATGGTACACAATAACAGACTATGATGTCCCCCGCTTCGGCGCGCAATGCACAAAGCTGTGCTGTGTTGACCCAGCATCTCCTAGGCTAGAAAGGCGACGCTATGCCAAGCGATGACATGCTACCTTACGCTAAGAGATGCTTCCCAGTACAATGATGTGCAGCGCAATGCGATTCTATTATATGCTATGGCGTGCTATGCTGCGAAACGCTGCTACCCCACGATCTGCTCAAACACGCTTTGCTATGCTTTGAGCTGCACTACACTTTGTGCTGTTTTATGGCACGTTGTTCGCTACAGTGCGCTACTATATGGCACGATGTTCGCTACAGTGCACTGCAACACAGAGCCTGGTATCTCGTTGCGCGTCACTGGCTGCCGCAATTATGCCTTGAAGAGGAAATGCTACCACCATTTGGGGATGGGATAGCTTGAGTTCAACGCTACTGGAGGGTCCACGTATCACGACGGTTCATCTGCGCAATTCTGGAAGCCCACAACACGATCGACCTATGCAGGCTGAGGGTGTGGCTGAATCCAGGCAGCCCGCAGCAGAAGTCATTCAGCTCAGCTCTATCATAGCAGAAACAAGTACATGCCCTAGGCCAAGTCTGATTGAAAACTCAACGCTTCCGAACACGTGAATCCATCAAGAACAGGTATGCGCAAGAGACCCAAGATACAAAACATCTTGCACACAGGAAATCCTGCCCAGCGTAGCCCCAACCTTGCACACTGAGATTCCCCCCCAGCAATATAACGTACTAAATCGAACAGCTGGTCGACACGGCAGAACTCAAGCGCATCCACAGCTAGATAACCATGCCGAACCCGCTAGAGATCAATACATGGCAGATTGAAATTAGATGCCGGTCTTGAGCCGTAGGATCCAAACTTCTGGCCCAAGTTTACAACTGCTTTCTGAACCACCTGGTGAAACTAGATCCAGCGTGTCAACCACACGGCCTATAGCCTTGAGCCGGACACGCGAAAAAAGGAAGGGGCGCAGCGGCGCCTGGACCGCTGCTTTAGGACATGATTTTAGGCGGGTGAGCTGGGCCATATTGAAGATAACTGAACCGTCCCAAGCAGCCCATAGCCTATAGTTTGCAGGAAGGCTCTCCTCGCGGTTAGTTAGAGTGTTGGAGAACCTACATTCCGAAAACAAACTCAACGGATCCTGTCGGCGTTCCCCTGATTTTGTGATGTTCCCATTTCCGAGCTGCCTCTTCCTCGTAAGCGTCCTCTTTCTGATCCTCCTCTTGGGCATTCCCTTCTCAGCGAAATGACTAAGAGGCGGAGAAGACAGACGAGGAGGAAACACAAGGCAACGGGAGGAGGCAGAGCATGATTAACAGGAAGCGGATGACCAGCAGCAGGCAGAGTGAAGTTCCGAAGGATCCTAATGGAATCAAGCTCATAAGTTCAACAATAGCGATTTCGACGGGATTGACTAGGAGACAGACAACCACTGCAATCCAGTGGGGGACCAGTTGCTGGTGTAAACGACCCTTAACGTCAGATGGCCAACACTGGGAACTCTGAACTCACTACTTAATGACATGTCCCGGGGCCGACGCCTGAGAAGGCTGCCGCCGGCCTTCCGCCGGCACCTCCGCCGCAGAGAGGACGGCAACCCCACCCATTCCTCGAGGGCGAGGCCCCCTCCAGGGCGCCTCAGACCGCACCCGCGGGCCCCGCATTGCACGGCGCCTCCGTCCTGGGGGCTGCTCCGCACCTCGCCGCCGCAGGGTGCTCCGCAGCGCCCGCCCCGCTCGTGGCGACCACGGTCATCACGCGCCCCGTCGTCGCGCCCGCGGTCGTCGGCCCAGCGGCCGTCACGCCAGCCGTCGGCGGCCCAGCGGTTGCTGCGCCAGCGGCCGTCGGCGTGGCCGCGGTCATCGTGCCAGCGGTCGCCGGCGCGGCCACCGCCAGGCGACTGCGCTGCGCTGCTGGAGCCCCAGTTCTCGTAGTCAAAGCCATCGTCGTCGTCGAACTGGGCCCGCTGAGTCTTCTCCACCTGGGCGGCGCACCAAAGACGACACTTGCGCTCGAACGCCGACCTTACTAGATCTCTTGACCGCCAACGCGGCGCATCCCATGAAAACAGGATCGACCCACGAACCCGCCAAGGAGTTTAGGAATGCGAGGCATGGCAGCGTTTTCAAGGCACCCGATTGGGCGACTGGCAATTGCAATGCTGAAGGTCTCGAGCGTGATGTGCAATTCCAGATGTTATGCTGTGCTCTGTCGTGCCGTGCTGAAATCACATGTGCCATGCCGCGATGAATTGCGATGTGATCAATGGCGTTGTGGATCAAGTCGCCCTTGGCATCCGAATCCTGACCGAGGTGATCTGGATCGTAAGCTCGAGCGTGTAACTGGCATCGTAAGCTCGATCGTAAGCTAGATCGTGAACGCATAACTGGCCCAGGGCTAGTTGGGGTCGAAACGTGTAGAACCCTCAGCAAGCTGGGGCTCAAGATCACATTCAACTTCGAAGCTGGACGAGACGACACGGGGCGCAGGACAGATGGACGCGCCACGAGATGTGCCATGGGCGCGCTAGGGGATGCGCCACGGGACGAGCCAGGAGACTTGGTAAGGAACGCGCCACGGATGGGGCAGGGGAAGCGCTGGGGGACACGCCAGGGAGCGCGACAGAGGACGAGCCAAGGGACGCGCCACTGGACGCGCCGAGAGGCGTGCCAGAGGGAGTGCCGCGGGGCGTCACGCCAAAGGACGTCGCGAGGGAGGCGCCAAGAGACGCGCCAGCTCGGCAAGGAACGCGCCACGGAACGTGCCAGAGGACGTGCCAAGGGACGTGCCAGAGGACGCGCCGCGCTACGTAACAGGGAGCGCGACACGGGACGCGCCACAGAACATGCCAGGAAAGATTCGAGCCCTAAGGGACCGGCAATCTACAGGAACACGCGCAATCACAACGGGTTCGAGCTCAGGTAAGGGCAATATATAGGAACATATGTAAAGCAATCAGTATCTACATAGAACGCAACGGATCCGAGTCGCAAGAGAAGGGCAAAATACGGATTTCGCGTACAACACTGAGGCAAGAAACAACAATCTTAGATGCTCCCCCACTTGGGCGGCTTGGACGCGAACGAATAAGTTGCTCCAGCTCGGGGCCTCCGTATCAGGTGCCCCCCCCCCCCCCCCCCCGATGGCCTGGACACATGAAAACACGTGGCTCCAGCTCGGGACCACCATGTTAGATCCCCCCCCGGGGCCGCCTGGTCATGTGAAAGCACTAGTTCCAGCTCGGGGCCACCACGTTAGATACACCTATGGGTGGCCCGGACGCGTGAAAACACGTCGCTCCAGCTCGGGACCACCATGTTAGATATTGCTCTGGGTGGCCAGGGTACGTGAAAACAGATGTTTCCAGCTCGGGCCCACAATGTTAAATACCTTGTTTTCTTTCCTGGGTCGCCTGGACACGTGAAAACAAGTGGCTCCAGCTCGTGACCACCATGATAGATACCCCAAGGGGGAATACGGGAAATAGCCAGCCAAATAAACTGTGTCGATGTATTGATTTTGTCTGGTTCTTGTGGGACCCCACGCTGAGGGCTCCCAGGCGACCACATGTTAGATACCCCCCCGTGGGTGGCCCGCATACGTAAGAACAAATGGTTCCAGCTCGGGGCAACCATGTTCGATACCCCCCTGGGTGACCTTGACACGGAAAAGCACGTGGTTCCAGCTCGGACACGTGAAAACACGGAAAGAGACATGTCCTGGGTGGACTGGACACGTGAAAACACGAGGTTCCATCTGGGGACAGTCATGTTAGATACCCCCCTCTGGGCGACCTGGACGCGTGAAATCAATCATTTCGCCTGCGACATATTTTGAATTCCTGCCCCCAGGAGAGGAGCAAAATATATGACAAAACAAGCGTTTCGCTCGAGACAGCCCAACACATTCTGCAAGAGGAGCGGTTCGCTCAAGACACGGTCCGCAACAAACGAAAATGTGTACCTGGCCCTGTGATCTATCAATCGGGATGTGAAACACCAACGTTTCGCTTGGGACATTCTCAACATGTAATCCGCCGGCCCTCCTCGACTTCGTTATGCATCATAAGCAAATCCGCCCGCCCTCTCTCTTCGGGTTTGGCACCGGGACAAGTTCACCAACTAAAACCCATGATTGACCCTCGACCCCACAAATTGATGTAGAAATGTGTTGCGTGATATCGTTCCCATGACGTCAAGCTTGGGCGACGGGCAATAAAAATGCTCAGAGTAACGATCTTGAAGTACTGTGCCACGGGCTGTGCTATACTGCGCCGTGCTGTGCCGTGTTGTACTGAGTTCAACGTGTCACGCCACGATGAAGCGCGCCGCGCCCTATTGCATTGTGGATCAAGCCGTCCTTGGCGTCAGAATCGTGGCCGAACTGACTTGGATCTTAAGCTGGAGCTGTATGAACGCGAAGTTCGGGCTAGTTCTAGTCGAGACGCGCGGGGCGCTCGACCAGATGGAGCTCAATATTCGATTGAATTCCGAAGCCATCGCCCGAGACATCCAGGTCCGCAACAGAGCGAACCGAGCGCCACCACGACAGGCGGGGGAGCAACATGCGGGGCGTTCGACCAGCTTGAACTGAAGATCCGATTCAGTTCCGAAGTGGGAAGAACCAATCTAGGGGTGACTCCGAACCGAAACAAACAGCACCGAGACGACGACAAGGCCCCCGCCCAACACCTCCTCGAACAATAGAAGACCAGCGTTTCGCGAGAGACATCCTCAACCCATCCTGCAGAAGGAGCCTCACGCTGCAAGCGAGGAGATCCTGCAGATCCTCAGCAGAACGAGACATCCTCAGCAGATCCTGCAGAGCGAGCGCTTCGCCCTAGACATCTCCAACACCTACTCATGCCAATGATCTGCCTGGGCGGCCTGGGCACGGAAAGGCCCGCACCTCGTCCGAACTATCCTCGACGAGTCCTCGTGTGCAAGGCCCGCCAGGGCAACGTGGAACAAACGTGCAAGCACATGGGTCCCTTGCGTGCCGGAGCGGAGCACGCGTGAAATCACGTGTGCCCCTTTCGCGCACAAGCGAAACAATCGTGATACCACGTGGAACTGTTTCGCCCCAGGGCGGAATACGCATGGCAACGAGTGGGTCCTTTTGCCCTAGAGCGCGGCATGCGTGAACTGACGTGGGCCCCTTTCGCCCCAGAGCGGCGCAAGCGTGAAAACGCGTGGGCCCCTTGTCACCCCAGAGCGGAACAAACGTGAAGACACATGGGCGTCGCCCCAGAGCGCAGCAAACTTGAAATTATATTGGCTGTTTCGCCACAGAGCGGAGCAGCGTGAAAACATGTGTGCCCGTTCTCTTGAGAGATCCTGTGAGTTCTGGTCCCCAGGAGAGGACAACATATTACTCAAAACAACCACAAGCGTTTCGCTCGAGACATCTTCAACCACTCCTGCAAAACAAGCGCTTCGCTCGGGACACCCTTAAATCATAATTCGCCAGCCCACCATATCCACGTTATTCGTGCAACCAAAAAATCAGCCGGACAACAACAAGTCGATTCTGGGGGGGGACCCCTAAAAGAGAACCCTGGGCCAGAGCCCTTTCCGGGAAAAACTACCTACAGACGCGCGGGTCGCAATTTTCCAAAATACCGGGACACGCCGCGAAGGAATTTGGTTTGCTTGCTTGTTCTGAATTATATTTCTCTCTGGTGCTGACCGAATCCAGGATTTGTAGATGGTCCGCGCAGCTCGAAGTTTCTGACATGTGTTTTTGGCCATGTGCTGACGCCCCCGTTGGCTAAAGCATTTGGCTGAAACACTTGTTGGCTCCAACCCGTTTAAGCCGTTGTCTCGAGATCTCCTCCTCCTCCTCCCCCTCCCCTTCCAGTCGTGCCCCGCGGCGCCCACATCCGACGGTGGTCGTCGTGGCCCTGACAGGCAGTTCCGTCGCCGTTCAAGCCCTCCACCATTCTAAAACCCTAAAGCCCTCAAACCCTTAAGCATTGAAGTCCTTTAACCACAAATCTTTTTAAGTCCCCAAAGCCAAGCAATGCTTATTAACCTTGCGCCCTCACGCCCTTATGCCCTTAAACCTGGAAGCCCTGAAACCATTCAGCCCGTAAGCCTTTGAGCTCAGTGGCCCTTGAACCCTTCAATCCTTGAGAACTTGTATCTCTGAGCCTTTGAATGCTGTAGCCCGTGATCTCTCAAACCCCCACCCCCCACCCCCCACCCCTTAAACTGTTAAGCTCTTAAGGCCTTGAACTTTTCAAACGCTTGAGACCCTCAGCCATTCAAGCCCTTACGCCCGCGCCCCCTCAGGTCTTCAACCCTTCAGCCATTGCGCCTCTAACTCCTCGAACGTAACACCTCGACCAATAGACCTGAGGCCGGCGCGTAAACAAAAAGAGCGCTTCAGCGACCTGCCCGAGATGGCTCATGATACCCTTCGCTCTTGAGAGCCTTGGTAGCAAGAGTTTGTTGCGTCACCGTTCGTTCTTGGGATCCTTGCTGGTAAGCGCGTGTTGCGTCACCCCTCTCTGTTGGGAGCCTGCTGGGAAGAGCTTGTTGCGTCACCGCTCTCTGTTCAGAGTCCTCGTGCCCAGAGATTCTTGCCTTGCCGCTCTTGGGATCCTTGGTGCTAAGAGCTTGTTGCGTCACCGCTCGCTCTTGGCAGTCTTCCTGGTAAGCGCGTGCTACGTCACCGCTCTCAATTTGGAGCCTTGCTCCTCCTCCTCCTCCACCTCCGTTTCCTCCTCCACTTCCTCCTCCTTATCCCCCTCCTCCTCCTCCTCCTCCTCCTCCTCCTCCTCCTCCTCCTCAGCCTCATCATCATCATCATCACCATATTAGTAGTATTCGTATTATTATTATCCTCCTTCTCCTCCTTCTCCTCCTCTGCCTCCTCCTCCTCCTCCGCCTCCTCGTCGTCCTCCTCCTCCTACGTACTTCTCCTCCTCCTTGTCCCCCTGGCTCCTCCTGCTCCTCCTCCTCGTCCTCCTCCTCCTCCGCCTCCATCCTCCTCCTCCTCCTCCTCCTCCTCCTCCTCCTCCTCCTCCTCCCTCCTCCCCTCCCCTCGCCTCCTCGTCGTCCTCCTCCTCCTCCTCCTCCTCCCTCCTCCTCCTCCTCCTCCTGCCTCCCCTCCTCCTCCTCCCCCCCCTCCTCCTCGTCCTTGTCTCCTCCACCCTCCATTCATCCTCCTCTTTCTCCTCCTCTTCTTCCTCCTCCTCCTCTTTCTCGCTCCCTCGTTTCTCCTCCTCTTTCATCCTCCTCCTCTCCTCCTCCTCCTCCTCCTCCTCCTCTTCCTCCTCAATTCCATGTTCCTCCATTCCCTCCCCCCCTCCTCCACCTGTTCTCCCCTCCTCCTCCTCCTCCTTTCCTCCTTCCTCGTCCTCCTCCTCCTCCTTCCTCCTCCTCCTCTTCCTCTTCCTCCTTCTATCTCCCTCCCTCTTATTGTTCGTCCATCTCCTCCTCCTCATCGTCATCATCGTCCTCCTCCTCCTCCTCCTCCTCGTTCACCGCCTCCTTTGGCCTCGTCCTCGTTCCTCCTCCGCCTTCTCCCTTCCTATCCACACCCCACCAACACCAACCCCTCCTCCTCCTCCTCCTCGTCCTCCTCCTCCTCATGACCTCTTTCCGCACTTCCTCCTCCTCCTCCTCCTCATCCTCCTCATCCTCCTCCTCCTCTTCATCATCATCATCATCATCGCATCATCATCATCATCATCATCGTCATCATCATCAGCATCATCATCATCGTCATCGTCATCATCATCATTCATCTCATCATCATCATCATCATCATCAGATCATCATCATCATCATCATCGGCATCATCAGCATCATCATCCATCACTCATCATCATCATCAGCATCATCCATCGTCCTCCTGTTTCTGTCCCTCCTTCTCCATACCTCCTTCCTCCTCCTCTCCTCTTCCTCCTCCTCTTTCTCCTCCTCCTCCTCCTCCTCCACCTCCTCCTCCTCCTCCTCCTCCTCCTCCTCCTCTTCCTCTTCCTCCGCCTCCGCCTCCGCCTCCGCCTCCGCCTCCGCCTCCGCCTCCTCCTCCTCCTCCTCCTCCTCCTCCTCCTCCTCCTCCTCCTCCTCCTCCTCCTCCTCCTCCTCCTCCTCCTCCTCCTCCTCCTCCCCCCCCCTGGGGCCCGCTTGGGGGTCTCTTGGTGCGCTCTTGGGGCTCTCTTGGGGCCGTCTGGGGGCTTTCTTGGGACATCTTGAGGCCCTCTTGGGCCGTCTTGGGCCGGCGTGGGACAATCTTTCGGGCCTCTTGGGCCGTCTTGGGCCCGTCTGGGGGCCCTCTTGGACCATTCGGGGCTCCTTTGGGGCGCCTCTGGGGCCGTCTGGGGACGATCTGCGGGGCCTCTTGGGCCGTCCTGGGCCAGTCTGGGACCGTTTGGGGCCCCTTTGGGGCGCTCCTGGGGACGTCTTGGGGCGATCTTTGGGGCCTCTGGGGCCGTCTGGGGCCCTTCTGGGACTGACAAGGGGAGAACCCGAAGAACATGCAAAAGCCCTGAAGTTTTTTTTGGGGGGGGCTTCTGAGGCCTTCTCGGGGGGCCTCTTGAAGGCCTCTCGAGCCGTCTCCAGACACTCTGGGACTGCCCGGAGGCCATATGAAGTTCTCTTGGGGCCGTCTTGGGGCCCTCTGAAGCCGTTTTGGCGCCCTTGTAGGCCGTCTTGGGACCTTCTGGCCGGTTCACCCGACAAAAAAATGGGCCATGGGAGCCGCTTCACTCCAAAGAAATACGAGGGAAACGGGCCATTAGACTCTTCGCCCGGGCCTCGCCCCTTCTCTGCACTCCTCCCTAGAGGGCTTCGCCCCAACTCAACGTACATCACTCGTGCCTCGCTCTTTCCGTCACCTTCGTGGAAATTAGAGAAGACGCAATCGAATGTGCGATTGCTCATGAAGAACCATTTTGCGGTACTGCTCTCTGTCGTTCTACAAAATATGCGGGCTTTTCAGTAGCGCTGCCATCCACATCCACATCTTGAGCTCCAAATCATCCTTATCCGTTTTGGCGCCAGGCCAATCCGGGCACCCATATTATCTTATTGAATAAGAACGCACACGAAAATCGCCTCGCATCCAGACTCTGGTTGGTTGGAATTCAAGCCCGTCTTCCCGTTCGTAATCCCAGTTGGTTGGGATTCGCCCCAAATGCAGTCTGACCCACTGCCCCCGCCATTCATCGATACTCCAGAATCGATGGGGGGCGGGGGGCGAGCTCAGATCTCGCCACGTGTCCGACGAACTCCAACCCTACCCACTCCGTCCATCCAGTTGCCTGAAACGTTGACTGGCGAGGGCAGTGTTCGGATTTCGCCACCAGATCCTGCAGCGCACTTGGCTGGGCGCCCGCCAGCAGCGCCTGCGGCGGCAGGTCCCGCATGACGACCCGCAGGCTCTCAGGCCAAGCATGCCGCGGCTGCTGGGAGGCGCGGTGCAGCGCCATGGCGAGTGCGTGCGCCCGCTCCCGCTTCCTCTTGTTGGAGCCGGCCCCGGCGGCGAGGCCCGCGCCGATGGAGACGATCCACAGCGAGCCCCCGTGCCCGAAGACCTCGCGGACAGAGTCGTAGAAACGCTCGTCGCCAGGCCGCGCCGCCTCGCAGCCAGGCCGCACCTCGCGGAACGCCGTCTCGGGCAGGTCCGCGCCCCACATGCCTCGGGCCTCGTCCGCGAGCCTCTTGGCGCATTGCGCGTGCTCGTGGCGGTCGTTGTCGCACACGACAAGCGTGGCCGCCTGGCCGCCCCAATCCGCCGACCCCTCCAATGGCGAGGGGCACCGGGCTGCACGTTTGAAATTTCGGCGGCGCAGCACCCTTGGCAACTGAGCAGCGCGACGTGGCATGCATTGCCAACAAATCGGCCTCATCGGCTGAGCAGTTCGATCACGGAACGCCTGCTCCAGCTCCCCGACAATCGTGAGCTGCATGGTTTATCGAGGATAAATATTATGGGCCCACCGCGCGCGTCCTGGAGCCTAACGTATGCAGAGCGTGGAAGAGGGGCCGTGCCCGAGTGAACGGGTGCAGTGGGCTTGAATACCATGGGCGCGCAATTGAATTCAAGTACGCAAGCGTGCGAGCATGTATCACCGTCCTCGGAGCTGCTGTCCTCCTCCCCTTGGCCCCCGCGCGCTCCACCAGCCAAGGGGTAGGGAAAGGGCAGGGAAGGGGAGTTGGGGAGACGGACAAAAAGGGGGGCAGCGGGGAAGGGAAATGGAGACGGCGGGGAAGAACGAGGAGGACGAGACTGGCAGGAGCGGGCGACATACTACACTTGGCCAAGCAACTGGGGGGCTATTCCGTTTCCGCGCCTTCTCCTCCTTCGCCAGTCGTGGTGATCGTGGTGCTCATATATTGGAGTCCTCTGTGGGCACTCTTATGGCACACTCGTGGTTTCTTGTAGTCCCCCCGCACAGCCGAGAAACGACTTGTCCTAGGAGTTCCCCCCATGGCCTTTTTCGGACGCCTTCGCGATGTGAGTGGCGCCACAATGGCATCCACAAGCGCCCCTGCAAGCTTCATGACGGCACAGGGCGGGCGTCCCCAGGTGCCCCCCAGACGCGCCGAATATGCTCCCAATGATTACAGACACAAGCCGACACCATTCAACCCACCATCATCATCGACACACGATCCCGGGAAGGGAGTTAGATCTGCGAGGCATGGGAACGTGTCCGAGCACCCCCATTCGGCGATGGGAAGTCACAATGCTTAAGATATCAATGGTGATGGTATTCTGCCAATTGTCGTGCTCTGCTGTTTTGTGCTGTGCCGCGCCGCATAGTGTCGTACCAGGGATGCGCCATGGAACGCGCCAATGGAACTGCCAGGGGACGCGCCAGGGGACGCGCCAGGGGACATGCCGCGTTGAACTGTTCCATGCGAGATTGCATTGTGGGTCAAGCCGTCCTTGGCGTCAGAATCCTGACCGAACTGACTTGGATCGTCAGCTCGAGCTGTCTGAACGCATAGCTCGGGCTGGTTGCAATCGAGACGCGCAGGGCGCTCGACCAGCTCGAGCTCAAGATCCGATTCAGTTCCACAACCCTTGCTCGAGACATCTCAGGCATAGAGCCAGATGACCACATGTTGGATACCTCCCTGTGTAGCCTGGCGCGTGAAGACGAGGTTCCAGCTCGGGGCAACCATGTTCGATACCCCCCTGGGCGTCCAGGGCGCGCGAAAACACGTGGTTCAAACTGGGGGCAACCGTGTTAGATACCGCCCGGAGTGGCCTGGACACGTAATAAACGTGGCTCCAGCGCTGGACCACCATGTTAGATATCCACCTGTGTGGCCTGGGCACGTGGAAACACATGGCTCCAGCCCGGGACCACCATGTTACACACCCCACCGGCCCATTCGGCGCGCGGGCCAGCCGAGCCAAGGCCGACGGCACAGGTCAATCAGAGTGTAGTGAATTTGACGGCTCTAAGACTGAGTGGAGCTCCTGTTGGTGCTCTTGTATACCATCGGAGGGCCTTCTTGGGCTGTCCTGGGGCCCTCGTGGGCACCCCACCGGGAAATCTGGAAAACCACCAGCCAATGATGGTGGGCCTGTTTTCCACCACCACCACCATAAGTTGGAGGGGGAGGGTGCCCTCCTCCTCCTCCTCTTCGTCCTCCTCCTCTTCGTCCTCCTCCTCGTCATCCTTCTTCCAGTCGAAAGTGAGCTTGGTAACTCAAATAGGGCATATAGCCTGTCATATAGCATCCGATTCCAAGGCGCTGACCGTGGACATCGGATGGCAAATAGCGTCCATCGCTCTGCTGTAGCTGTGAAGGTACAGTATGAGGGGTGGGCGGATAAGATAGGATAAGATCGATGTAATGATCTTTCCAGCACATAGCAAACACTCGCGGTGTCCGGGCAAATAGGGCGCGCGTGCCTTGAGCCCAAGGCAGCGGCGCGCGAGCTATGCTCCCGATACTGTAACATCTCCCAAAGAGCTACCCTTAAAGTCGGGAGGGGAGGAGACGGAGAGCATAGTCGCACGCAAAATTCGCGCGCACGACTGTTTGCAAAGAAATGAAAACAGTACGTACAAACTGGCCAAACGCCAGAATGTAAGGCGAGTTTCCTCGCAAAGTATTTCACGCAAATACAGGACAGCCCCTTCAAATAATGAAGGGCGATCGGCCTAGTTAGAGGTAGGCCAAAATTAGGCCATACCTCACCAAAAACGTAACAAAATAGCAAGCAAAACTCTAGGAAAAATAAAAATAGCAAACCAAATAAAGAAAAAAAAAAAACTCTAGAAGAGCATAAATAAAAAAAAGAAAAATAAACAAAGCCAAAGAACAATAAACAAAACGATCCAAAAAGGGCAAATGTGTATTAAGGCAAAGAGCCTGAGTTGTACGAAGCCGGCTCGTTGCCAGGCGTGAAATATGAGGCTCGTTTCCGAGCAACTAGAGGGGCGCCTTTATGATAGGCGCCCGTGCTGGCAAACTGGACCGCGAGGGCAACAAGGACAGACTAAAATTGATTAGACTTGGGTTTGTCTCTGTCCTCGGGACCCCGAAAAGGAACAAATTGCTTCACGTCATACTTAAATGACTGAGTGCCTGACATCACTTCCAGAAGCAGCTCCCGATCGATGGTTCCCTTTGTATGCCCATCTGCGGTCATATCCCTAGTATCACACCATTGCACGTTATGTACTATACCTATATCCATAAGCTCACGTATCCAACTGATATGTCCAAGCAGAGTCCGTTCTGTGGGTATTTTGAGATCCCTGCTTGATAAAGATTTGTAGACGGACTCAGCGTCTCTGGTCAGAGAGACTTTGATAGCAAGGCCTCCAACTTCACGCATATCTCGTAGTTGTCGTGGAGTCAAGGCCCCTGCCTTAAGCTCATGGAGAGTAATGAGCGTAGGGTAACACTCATCAAGGTTATGTGCGGCTGCAAGTGCCTCCGCAGCATAACTGGACCTCACCTGTAATCGGTGTGATTTGCATAGTCCGTCACAGAGGTGAACGACGGACTTGCCTTGAGGCGAGTTTCCTCGCCGTAGTACGTTGGCCCCGCGTATGCCGTAGCCCTTGGTCTCGTCATCCTCCACCCCGGTAAGCTTCCGATACCCCGAATCGCTATGGATGTCAACTTCATTCGTCGGCTTCATCCGAGGGAAGGTGATACGTTTCGGGCTGCTGATCAGCTTTCGCGTCACAGCATTCAAACGTCTGACTTGCAGATTGGTGGGCTCCTGAATTTTCTGAAGAGAGACCACGTGTACCATGAGCCAGATTTGGGTAAGAAGGGCATAGGCGAGGGCTCCTCGCAGGCTGACGAACATGTCGGTAATAAGTTTCGTGGCTTTGGCGTCGGCCGCCGCTCCTGTAAGTTCTGGATGTGTGATGGGGCGTAGTTGTTTGATATGCTCGTCCTGGTCCATGATCACATCTCCCTGATCATTCTTAGTGTAGCGGACGGCACAGTTCGTATATGTGTGCTTGTTGAGCTTGCATTTGCCAAAAACCTTTTCGACGCGTTGTACATAGTCGTCGACATTTTTCTCTAGACCTGTCATATTAATGTCATCGACATGTTTTGCAGTCAGAAGATCTTGGCTGAATTCAAATTCAGGATCGTAACTAGTCGGTGAAAGTCCTATAGCTCGTGTGGTCGTACGAAATTTGAGAGAGAACGCTCTTGGGGCGTCCTTAGTACCCGTTCCTGGTTTGAGGCACCTAAGACAGTGTCGACTTTCGTCGTAGGATGAGAAGCCGGGTAGGGTACGAAGTACCTGAGCGCTTCCTGGTGGAAGAGTAAAGCAGACCATGCGAGTTTCCTCGCCAGTGGCATGGGCAAATTCCTCGTAGGTCAAACCTTTAAGGAACGCCTTATCGATATCCATGGATGCTAAGATCCACTCTGGATGACATGCCGCTTCACTTGCCAAGAGTCGTTGAGACTGCCTTCGGGCGGTTCCCGAGAATGTTTCCACATCAAAGGCCTCAGTATCCATAAATCCACGAAGGACTAATCTGAGACGAATGGTTTTAACGCTCTCGGTGCCCATCTTTACGAACTTCCACTTGTATACATATCTGGATGTCATGATGTTGGAAGCTTTGGATAAGTCGTACATCTCAAAGCATCGGTTATCAATCCAGATCTTGAGCTCAGTATATAAGGCTTCACTAACCTCCTTTGGATGTGCTGCTATGTCGGTTTTGGTCAGTAGGTCGTCTTCTTTGACAACCACAGCACGTTTAGCAGCAGAGGATACATATACTCTCATCGTTGCGACCATATCGGTATCGAGCTGTGCAAGTTGAGTCTGGTCCAACACTATTTTTGACATTTCTGATGTAAAGCATAGTTCAACGTAAGGACCATATTCATCACTGTCTAGGGAATAGCTCTCGTCGTTTGTGTTCGAACAAAAAGATACTAGACAAGACTCACATGAGTTAGGCTCGTCTCCGAGCATATCTGATGATGTAATATCATCTTCGTCCGCAAATGCTGAAACCAAAACGCATTGGTTAGGCAGCATAGTTGTTGGGACGCAATAGAGATAATCATCTGTAATCGTCGTAGGATGAAGGTCCATACGTAGTTCGTCGCACCACTCTTCCAGCATCATGGCTTCGATATTGTGTTCCTCATTTTCCTCATAGATTGTCGACAGACGGCCTTCGCTAGGCGATGAAGCGTCTGGTGTGTCTGGAGAAGGCCTGTTTCCAGGCGACTCGTGTTCTCCAGACGTGTTGCTTGGATGCTGATATTTAGCCAGGTCATCGTGAAATCCTAAGGAAGGGACACGAGAAGTCAAGCATTGAATAAGTCTGGAGTGAGTGCTACCAGTCATCTGAGAAATGTTTAGGCCGGTGCCCACACATTCATAGTAGTGGAACGCCGGGGTAATGTCATTGTCATAGTGGATCAGCGTAGACCCGGTGGCGTACTTTACTGCAGGTAGGCTTGACACACTCTTAGCCAATCGAACTGCTACTACATGTTCCACTCTGAAGTAATTTCGTACGAGATACTGTAGTGCTAGGTGTACGCGCGGGTGAAACTTGCTATCGTCTGACAGGTTAAGGTTTCCCTTGTAGTCGGGAATATACCCGAAAACTATGGCAGGTTTCCCTGCACTGAGATGTGCCACATAGGCAAGGACGGTTTGCATGGCCATGTTATCCATGCCAAGTTCCCGTGTGAGGAGACATTCGATGTATAGTGTGTGACGAGCATCAGGATACATCACAATTACCTCACGAGATCCTGCCTTGACAACAATATGTCCTCTTTCAGGCACGTTTCGGATCACCGGGAATGGGCCGCTCCAGCCTCCATGGTCGTCCTTGGTGGCAGTAGGTCGGTGGTAGTCGACCAAATCCCCTGATGAGTAGAGGCGAGCACCATCAGGAGTCGTCTTAGCCCTAAGAGCCCGATTTGTCTTAGCTACAGCAGTAGCCTGAGTTATGGCTTCGAGGCTGACTTCCCTTACACGACGTTCTCGTTCGTGTCCTGAAGTCTCGGGTCCCTTGGGAAAGTCAAGGGCATCGAGATCAGGAAAGAAGGAGGGCTGACGTCCTGTGTGTGCCTGATATGGCGATACTCCGTTATAAAACGTAAACGCATTAGTAACGAAGATGCCTTCCGCCAATACTCTAGTGAATCCAACAGGGATGTTGTG